GGGTTGGTTTTTATTCCCCCTGTCTACTGGGTGGTTGCAGCAGGTTTTGGTCACTTCACATGACCCTGGGACACTGTGACCGTCATAAATATGAATCAGTTGCCAACCATCTGAATGTAAATCACAAGACCCTGGAGATGCTGCAACATTCCAGTTGATCGGCGCTTCTTCTGGGCTCAGCAGAAGTGCCAGGATCAGCGCTGAGCTCCAGCTGGAGCCTGATGCTGATCCTGGCACTTCCACTGAGCCCTGACAGCCCTGCAGCTCCAGCCATCTCTTGCTCAGGCTTGTGCGGTGCTGCCATCGGTTCAGCTCATTCCCTTCCCCCTCTACCACTTTTCTAGGATGGTCACGTACCACCTGCCAGGTGCCAATGTACCACAGGTGGTGCCCGTACCACTGGTTGAAAAGCCCTGATCTAGATATTAAGAGTTATATTCCATAGAGTGTTGTGATAGCCTTGCCCTGTTGTCCAGCCTTTCAAGGTTTGGGGAAGGAGGAGCTGGCACTGTATCACACACATACAAAGATACACATAAAAGAAGACAATTGTGGATAAGGAGCCACAATTTTGTCCCCTGTTCACTACTTTATCCCCTCTGGGGATAGAGATGGCATTACTCAAAGCATGGTGATGTCATTAAGATGGATCATTTCTAGGATCATTTCTAGAGTATTTGGGGACCATGAAGGGACTTTAGGATGAAAATGAGAACAGGAAAGGATCAGAAAGCAAGCTGTTCCCATTTCCACCTTTAGAAATTGACTGAATTTCAGTGGCAGGATTTCAGTCACTTTTTGAGGGGGATTGAGTGAGGTAAATGCAGGATAGAAATAAATTTGATTTCCTTCTCAGATGCCTTCCATTTCCATTCTTCTTTTTATTGTGTAATAAAATATAGTAAAAAGAAGAATTGTGTTACTAAAAAAAATCAGAAATTTGAACCTATTTGGACAGGAACATCTAGTGATGTTGAGAAGCTGGATTTTGGCTTGTGGGCTACAGATTACTCACCCCTGGATTGAGTAAGGAGCAAAGTTCTATTAAACCAAAATATCCTTTCTGGATGTTTCACATGTATGGCTTTGAAAGGAACTAGGTTTGTGGAAATGCACTTAATCTGGATTCTCCGTGAATCATAAATTCACCAAGCAGGCACGGTTTACCCTAACTTGAAAAATCCTACACATGATTAAAACCAAATGTAGTACTGTGGAGGAATCCAACTGCTAAGTCTTTTCATGGCCTGATTATGTTGAATAAACAACAGCTATACTGATAGCTAAAGATGTTACCAAAGATGAGGTTGGTTTCATAGTTAAAGGCTTACCACCAACATTGACAGGGCAGGCCACCTGTATATAAACAGAGAGCAAACGCCATTCCTTTCTATTACTGATGATATTACCTAGTTGGGTAATGAAATGTCTGCCAGAAAATCACCAAGCTCAGAGAGCTCTAAGGACTCCTTGGTTTACCACCATTTTATGTCTGCGCAACAATGCATGCACAAAAGAGGAGCCTTTCACTCACGACACCACAGCCACCATTTTGTCAATTTTAACACCCTGCTCTCTGCAGAACACATTTCTGCAAAAAATGCCAAATTATCACCAAGTAATCACAACCTCCCTTCACCTAAATTTTTATGGCTCTCAGTGTATGCTTCACTTCTAGATAATGTCATTCATTTGTAAATCCTTTACACATATTTTTTTTTATGCTTCCTTAAATATTTGAGTTAGATGCAATACAGTTTCCCACAGGTTCAGTGATATAATCAGCCCACACCAAGTTGAGGCCTGTTCCCCTTGTATTCCAGGCTATAGAGAAACATTTATATATTTATGACACTGGCCTAGAGTCATGTACGTGAGATGGGCAGCTACATAAATCAAATAAATAAATGAAAGCACGTCATGAAAGATGTAAGCAGGCCGATGGATATTTGTAACTGCCTCAAGGGGTAATGGGGCTGTTGGCTGGGGCAACGGTCTGCTATTGTGATGGACCTCTAATAGCTTTTGCCTGGTAGTAAATCCTGAGGTAATTATAGCCAATGACAGGCAGAGCTGGCTTCTCTTTTTGGCTATGCAAATCTGCAGGAGAGCTGGATAACATTTTGGCTTATTTGCTTTTGTAGAAATTATGAAGCGCATAAAACCTCGATCAAGAAATACGCCAAAACCAAATATGACTTTGTGGGAAGAAACCAGAGCGAGCTGTCAGTTCTGAAGGATGACATTTTGGAGGTAATGGTGCTTCTTTAGACACACACACACACATACACAGGTAGTCCTCGACTTACGACAACAATTGAGCCCAAAATTTCTGTTGCTACATGAGACGGTTGTTAAGGCTTTACAACCTTTCTTGCTATTGTTGCTAAGTGAATCACTACACTTGTTAAATTAGTAACAGGGTTGTAAATGATTTTGGATGGTCACTAAATGACTGGTTGTAAGTCAAGGATTATCTATAGACCTATTTCTTTTATTTTTTTCTTTTGTAAAAGTTTTATTGGTTTTTTACAATAACAACCTTAGTGCCTGGTGTACAGGAAGTCCCCTATAGACCTATTTCTCTGCTGTCAGGCATTGGATGAGCTTCTCTAGACTGAGCCATAAATTATGTTAGATAATTGATAGTGACTACAGCATTTGAGCCAAAACCAAGCAACCCAGGTTACAACTCAGCACATTGGCTGAATTCAAGCCATGTGTGAAATCTGTAACTTTGATATTAGGAATGCCATTCACCAAATAGTCTGCAAAGGTGTCTTTCTAACTTTCTGCCCCTCAAAGTATATTACTTGTGCAGAAGGAAGGCAATACATCCACGAAGGGCTGGATCCTTCCTAGAGAATCATTTCCTTTAGAGTTGCGTCTCTTTCCCTGAGACTCTTATTCAGGGGTCTTCAAACTTAGCCCTTTTATGACTTGTGGACTTCAACTCCCAGAATTCCTCAGCCAGCGTGCCTGGCTAAGGAATTCTGGGAGTTGAAGTCCACAAGTCATAAAAGAGCCAAGTTTGAAGACCCCCTGCTCTTATTCTATGCAGGTCATAGTCACTCGGAAAGTGAAACATCTATTATGAAGATCCCTTTTAGTTTAGGTGACTATTTAGATAACCTGTTGTTATTTAAATGGGTCTGTGGAGTCAGACCCGTTTGTTGTGACAACCTTTGTTTGTTTTTCCAGATTCTTGATGACAGAAAGCAATGGTGGAAAGTCCAGAATGCAAATGGATTGACTGGATTTGTGCCAAATAACATCTTGGAACCTCTCAGAGCTCCTGAAGGTGTCTCTACAGAGCCAGCTTATGCACACACCATACAGGTATCTCCAGTTCTTTTAAACAAAGAATATCAGGTGCAGGTGGGCAGGACTTTGTCCTCAGAGAGATTGAATAGCCTATGAGAAACATCAGAAAATCTAGGTGTATGAAGCTCTGCAGAAGGGTAGCCTAGGCCAGGGGCAGGCAACCTTGGCTCGTTTATGATTCGTGGACTTGAACTCCCAGAATTCCTGAGCCAGCATGGCTCAGCTTGGAAACTCTCCCTTTCCCCTCAGCATGGCTGGCTCAGGAATTCTGGGAGTTGAAGTCCACGAATCATAAAAGAGCCAAGGTTGCCTACCCCTGGCCTAGGCCAGGGGTCTGCAACCTTGACAACTTTAAGACTTGTGGACTTCAGCTCCCAGAATTCTTCAGCCATGGCTGAGGAATTCTGGGAGCTGAAGTCCACAAGTCTTAAAGTTGTCAAGGTTGCAGACTCCTGGCCTAGGAAATGCAGGCAGAGGCAACAAATTGGGACTCCGGATAGCCTGGTTGGCCTTGAGTTTGAATTCTGTACGACAAGGATACAAATGAGGTCAAGTCAGATGGACGCTTTGGTGGAAGTGAAGTAGGGAGAGCCCAACATGGAAGCTCTAAAAGAGGGTTGTAGAACCTCTAGTTCTGCAAAAGTTGGATCACATCTACACCCCACCTAATACGAGAACCAACGTTCTCCATGCCTGCATTAAGCTCTTGCCCACTTTTCAGAAGCATCTTTTATTAATTTAACTTGTTTATTTATTTATGAAACTGATGCATTGCCTTAATCCCGTCTGAATTTCGTGCAAAATGTTTCTAGGTTTCCTAAGAAGCTTGTTAAATAGCCTTTGTATTCAATCAGGTAACAGCAGAATGATGAGCAAGGGGAACATCAGAAAAGTCAAGGGGCTGAGCCTAAGGGCTTGAGTAGCTCTTCTGTTAAAAAGACATCTTACAGCATACAAAATAAATTCATTTAATTATTAATAATTCCAGCATTGTTTCTCTGGAAACATGAAGCAGAGTTCTGCTCTTTTGATGTTTCCTTTTTATTGCTGACATTTATAGTTTTCGTTACCATGGTTTGGATTCTAATTCAGCTTGTATGCCTTTTTTTATTTAAATGCTTGTCATGTCTTGATAGTTATTGATGTCAAAGAAGGAATTTGAATTATTTAAGGTAGGGGGTTTCCCTTTTCATCCAAACTGTCCCTCTTCAGTTTCCCCAAGTTTCTTTTGGAAGTGTGAAGTTGTTTCTGCTGCACTTTGCATGGGTGTGAATTGTTATCTTTTTTAAACAAAGAAATATGTTTTATTGAATTTTTAACATAGTCACCTTAGTATTTGGTAAACAGCATGTGGTCTGGATTTATATTTAAAAAACAATCAATAACAGTTAATTTCTATAATTCTATAGTCCATATAATGGCTTTGCTTGATTTTCTTCTTCCAATAATATTCTCTTTTGCCAACCTTAAATTAATACAATTCTTATTATTTGAATAAATGACAATTAAATGTAGACATTTTTCTTATGTTTCTGCAAATAATAACCATATCAATATAAATCTTCTTTTCTAATTGATCTTAATTACTTCGTCATATATCCTGTTTATAAAATTCTTATTTAAATTTGTTATCCCCACAATATTCAAAACATTTTTACTGGCTAAGCCTAAGATATTCCCTCTGATAGATCCCATCATCTAATTTCTTAATTCCCACTTTAGCCTTTTTTTTTGGCCATCTTTCCTGATCAATATGCTTCACTGAATCAAAAAGTCTTCCCATAATCTTATAAATGTTGTTGCAGGTACAAAAGGCAAAACAGGTAAGATGTTTTTATAGGCAGGTTTCGCCCCTTTGAACATCTTTTCTTTTCTTTCTTTCTTGATTTCACTTATAATTTTTTGTCTCTGAAGTTCTCATAGTTCTCTTGGCAGAATCCATTTTGTCAAATCTTTTTTCTTGTCTTCAGACTTATTTTGTGGTGTTAGAGTATAAGTTATCTTTTCCATGTCCAGTATTTCCTGTACATTTTTTCCCATCTGGGTTAAGTCATACTTCCTTCTGTTGTTAGGTTCCATCTTAAAATCTCTCTCCTCTGGCTTATATTCAGTTGTCTGTTTTATCTGCTTGCTCTCTATTTTTATTTTCTGAGAGTTTTTGTGTTGTAGAGTTAAATTGGAAATGTGTTCGTTTATTCCAGGGATAGTCAACCTTGGCTCTTTTATGACTCGTGGACTTCAATTCCTAGAATTCCTGAGCCAGCTTAGCTGGCTCAGGAATTCTGGGAGTTGAAGTCCACAAGCATAAAAGAGCCAAGGTTGACTACCCCTGGTTTATTCTTTCAAAGAAAGGAGATACAAAAGGAAGAAAGGAAGGGAGGGAGGGAGGCCAAGAGGGAGTCCTCCACAAGGTGCTAGACTGGAAGCAGGGTCTAAATAAAGAGAAGACCCTGTCTGATCTAATGGTTCAAGAATTGCATTGTTACTGGAAAGACTACAGTTTAAGTCGACCATCAGTCATAGAAGCCCATTAAGTTATTTTGGACTACCCAAGTTTTATTCCTTACAATTCTATGGGGTAGCTTGGCTGACTGGCCCCAGTTTACCCAATAAACTTCCATTGCTAAAGGTTACCTGAACCAGGTGTCTCTTGTCTCGTTTCACTTCACCTGCATGACCTTCTTAACAGAATATTTTTCTTAATAGTTATAAAATCTGCCAAGCAGATATCAGGACTATGGGGAGTTCTTCAGTTCCCAAGTTATGCATTTTCTACAATGTTCAGTTTGTACTTAGACGTGACCCTTCTTTTATTCCTGAAAGCAAATTAAATTGTCTTGTTCGTAGAGCACATGGAATTTCCTTTGTCCTGATCCTTCTTGATGTGAGAGGACCATTTATATATAGTCCTCACTTAATGACCAGTTGCTTAGCGACCATTCAGAGTTGCAACAGACCTCTCTGGAGCTATTCATGATTTGTTTTCAAAATTCTGACAGCTGCACACAATACCCACCCTGTAGTCATGTGATCGCATGGTGGGTGCTTGGCAACCGGCTCACAGCCATTTGCAGCATCCCGCGGTCACATGACTGTAATTTTCAGCATCCTGGTTTCTGGCATTTACTTCTGGTTTCTGACAAAAAATGTCCATTGGTGAAAATGGTTTTGCTTAACAACAGCCAAAAAGGCCATCTGTAAATGGTCATCTGTAAATCTGCTTAATGATCACCACAATTTATGATCATAATTCTGGGCTCCATTACAGTTGTATATCAAGGATTACCTATACATTGGGTAGATGTATCTTAAAAACATTGTTCTTGTTTGGACTCTTAACATTTAGGAAAAGTTTGTCCTCTTTCCAGATAATTTTGGGGGATTTTGGGGGCCTCTAGATACTCCCATGTATTTTGGGGGATTTTGGGGGCCTCTAGATACTCCTGCGTGAGCTGCACTGGCTGCCGGTGGCCTTCCGGGTGCGCTCCATGGCAATGGACCTAGGTATTTGCAAGACCGCCTCCTACCAAATATCTCCCTTCGACCAGTCCACTCCCACAGAGAGGACCTCCTTAGGGTGCCGTCGGCCAGTCAATGCCGGCTGGCGACCCCCAGGGGGAGAGCCTTCTCTTTGGCAGCTCCTGCCCTCTGGAATGACCTACCCCCGACCTACGTACAACTACGGACCTGCGCCTCTTCCGCCGAGCCTCGAAAACCCATCTATTCCACGCGGCCGGCCTGACGCAGTTTTGATTGGGCTTTGCTAGGGGTTTTATATGGGGTATTTTAGAGCAGGCTTTTTATTCAATATTTATTGTGATTTTTATTATTGCCTGTTCACCGCCCTGAGTCCCGTAAGGGAGATAGGGCGGTATATAAATTTAAATAATAAATTAATAAATAAATAAATATAAAGATTCTAAGAATTCCATCAAATTCTTAAGATCCTTATAATCAAAGTCCACGTGGCTTTGGAGAAACAAGTATTCATGGACACCTGGAATACTGCAGCCAATTTTGGTCACCATATCACAAAAAAGATGTTGAGAGTTTGGGAAAAAAAATTCAGAGAAGAGCAACTAAGATGATCAAAGGCCTGGAGACCAAAACATACGAAGAACGGCTGCGGGACTTGGGTTTCGCTAGTCTAAAGAAAAGAAGAAATAGGGGAGACATGATAGCAGTACTCCAGTATTTGAGGGACTGCCACAAGGGAGAGGGGGCCAGGTTGTTCACCAAAGCACCAGAGGGTAGGACGAGAAACAATGGTTGGAAACTGATCAAAGAGAGAAGCACCCTGGAATTAAGGAGAAACTTCCTGACAGTGAGGACAATCAACCAGTGGAACAGCTTACCCCCAGAAATTGTGGGTGCTCCATCACTGGAGATTTTTAAGAAGAGGCTAGACATTCACCTGTCTGAGACGGTATAGGTTCTCCTGCTTGAGCAGGAGGCTGGACTAGAAGACCTCCAAGGTCCCTTCCTATTCTATTCTATTCTATTCTATTCTATTCTACTCTACTCTACTCTACTCTACTCTACTCTACTCTACTCTACTCTACTCTATTCTATTCTATTCTATTCTATTCTATTCTATTCTATTCTATTCTATTCGCCACAGCTAAAGCAACCTTCCAAAGCTGTAATGTGGGAATATACACATCTATTCACTAAGCATTGCAGAGTAGACAAATGGGTGCTGTAGTTGGTTGCCTTCTGACAGGCACTTCTTTCAGGAAGTCACACTAATGATGTCTGCCTGTTGTAGGCGGCTGTTTTTCTCAGATTCTGCTTTGACAAGATGGTGCCTGTCTCCCACAGAGACATCTCTTTCCCTCATCTGTTTTTTTTCCGGTGAGGAGAAACAAATAGAATTTTCTCAGCTTCGATTTCTATTTTTTTTTTCAGTCAACTGGATGACAGTGGACCTCTCTTTGCTTAATTCATCACCCCGACATTTAGGGGTTTTTCTGGGGCTGTGCACCTGGCGAGAGTAGTATCTGGAATCATTCCCC